CTTGTTTACGTTTCTAGGAAAATAAAAATAATAAAAAACAAAATCTTTTTTTTTTTTTAAAGCCGGGCTCTGTTGCTCTGAGCATTTCACTAGCAGAGCAGATATATCCTTAAGGATAGGTTAATAATAGATAACTTTATAGTTTATGCATTTAAAGCCGACAGCACGCGAACTAATCACACAGCTGGTGCCTCTGTGCTTTGCCTCGCGCGTTGCCGCTGCTTTACCTCAGCGGGATCGCGCGCGCCTCCTTTCACTCAAACTGGACACAGGCTGACCTGTATGGATATTTACATAAACCTACTGTGAGGAATTATGATCCTTTGGAGAACTCTAGGTAAGAGTTTAAAACCCACCGTTAGCTCTGGTTGCGCAGCTCAATGTGAACCGCAGGAATAACTTGTAGGAATTCAGAGGTGCGCGTTGTGGAGGGAGCGGTGAGAATGATTTATCTTTGTGAACGAACAATTATATGCGGCGTTTCCATCTCGACACGCTGCCCAGCGTGTGGCTCTGTGTCTGTCTTCCTGTAAAGTTCCTGTCTGTGGTCCCGGTTGGCCGGAGCGTTTGTGGATAACAAGCAGCGCTAACCACATCATGCAGGTTCAGCCCGGTGAGGAGCTTTAACGCTCTCCTCGGAGTCACGCATTACGCTGATTTTATACTATTGTATTATTATTTTTACGGTTACACGATGCATCAAACCATATCAAATGCGTCATCTACTTAGAGTTAATACGAGCTGCCGCACAGAGATCTGAGAAACTCATCCCATAAACTCGACCAACCAGAATAGTTTCTGTGACGCTTATTAAAAACTCAACAGACACGAAATGAAAGAGCTACTAAAGCCCCATTAGCAGCATTGAATTAAATCTCCCGTTTGTTACGCATTTCTGTGTAGTGCAGCAGATTACCTCATCATGCAGGGCCGGTGCAAGGCTGTATGGGGCCTTGAGCAGAATCTGACTTAGGGGCCCCTTTTGTTGCTAAAAATATCAGCACCTTTAATAGCTTCTGTGTTAGATTTAGTGAAATATGGGAGAAGGGAGTAGTTTAATTAAACTGCAACAAGTTTAATTGCAGTTTACTAATTTGTATTTGTAAATTCAAAGATTAAACTCACAGCATCAGATTGTTGCTATGGTAACAAAACAATCTAACTATGAATATTGTTCTTTGAAGTTTTACAAAGTAAACTTCCCAGCTCCTTAAAATCTTGTATTTAAATGTTGAACAATTTAAAATAATTTATGTATGCTGAAATTGAATCAAGTTTAACAGCATTGATAATCTCAATAAACAAATGTTACATTTATGTATCTGTGGTCTGTTTTAAAATATTAGCGTTTATGGGGCCCCTGGGGGCCTGATGGAGCTGGTGACTTAATTTGGATTAAACAGAAGTGCAAATTTGTTGTTTTTAGACTAGTTGCAGGTTTAAATAGCATTTCACTGGAAATGTTTTCCTGTAACATATAATTACACAGTAAAACTTTAATATTTTCTGTCAACTTAACAATAGATCGCCTGTGGACCGCCTCGATGCCCCCACCACCGGGCTTAGCAAGTTTTCTTGGGGAAACCCTGACATGCTATTTATTAAACCCATAATTCTGTATAACTAAATGGGCTTTTTTATTGGTTTGATGTAATATTCAAATTTATTCAATGTAGTCTGGAATCAATATGGCAAGCAACAGAAATTGAACTACTGAAGTTCTTTAAAGAATCAAATTGTGTGTGTGTCCAATTTGTCTGCTTGTTGTTTTTTTCCCCATGTTTTGTAATAAAGGTTAAGGCAAAAAGATATCACAAAAGCAATCACAACATCCTGAAGAAACTGATTAGCCAACAAGAACAGTGATCAACTCAGCTGCTTCTTCAGACCAATAGTTTGCCTGTTGTCCTACCTGTTGGTAAACAGCAGGAAGGCCTCTGGCACCACGCAGGTCTGGAGGTCTGAGAGGAGCTCCAGGCCCATGGGACAAGCACAGCGGACCGCCTGCTCACACCAAAAACACAGATGGCTGCACCCACCATTATTCTCTGCACAGCCGTTTGTACCTGAGCAAACACACAAGTGTTCATGTAGGCTCAGTTCATTATTTTCTTTTGCATTTTTATCCACTGTTCAGAAATCTGCAAATCCTACCATTGGTCTCTGTGACTTTGGTAGCCTTTAAGCCCATTAAATCTGGCAGCTGATCGATGATGATCTCTCGCACGGCAGTGGCCTTGTGGATCCTCTCGATGCTGCGGCTCTGCCAGTCGGTCCAGTAGATGTATTCACCCAGCAGAGTAAAGCCAAAGATATGAGGCAGCTTGTCCTCCAGCAGAGTCTGCCTGTTACTGCCGTCCACGTTGATCACCTGAGGTAGAGACAGAAGAAGACTAGCATAGTTTCTACATGCAGGTTCAGAAAGAAGCTGTGGACCCTGCGCCACACTGTCAGTGATACTGCTGGAGTCCTTGAACTGAAATACAAGTCACTATCATGTCACTGCTACTATTACGATATGGATATGCTTACTGATATGTTACAGTGCACAAGTTGGTGAAGCATGACTTCAGTAAGCTGAAAAGGATTCTTCCGGATTAAATTAAAGACAGACACTTGTATTGCTGAGGAGACACACCACCAGGTGCAGCACAAGGTAAGGTACAAGAACACACATTATCCATTCACTGTTTATACGGGCATATCACCCATGACCCATATGCAGGGTCAAGAGGGGAGAATAGAGCCTATATCCATGGTTACTGAACCTCAGCATGTGTGGTGAGAACATGTAAATTCCCTGCAAAATGACCCTGCGCTGGGGTCAAAACCAAGACCCGACTCAGAAATCATCTTGGAGTCTGAAGGATTAAGATAATGTGCTTTGGTTGAGAAAGGAGTTTATTGTTTATTCAACTCCAGTTTATTTGTATAGCACATTTCAGCCATCACCAAAACCATCAAGCAAATATAGAGCAAATATATTGATCAATGTTCTGGTTATTATGAAGCAAAGGCAACTCTAAGCTGTTTAGAGTACTCTGATTAATAACAGCTGCAAAATTGATCAGTATATTTGATGACGATTATTCTTGGTGATTTTGATTATGGTATTTGACAAAATCTAATGTTTATTACTGTTTCATAATTGGTTGCTGTACTATATTTTTATGGTGCAAAGCACTTTGAAGTACCTTGTTGCTGGAATAAAATGGCTGAATCCCCAGTGAAGTCCATTTCTCCAGAGTTTTTCTAATGACATCATTATTTGTCTCAGGTGTATTGAAGCTGCAGGACACTGGCCCTGGAGGCCTGGAGGTGAAACCCCTGTTCTGGGGAGGGCTTGTAAATCCCTCCTGACATACTGAATTTTCAGGCTTTTGTACAGCGTGGTTGTGTCTCAATATTTTTGTGTGTGTTGGACAAAGCCTAACAGAAATCTGAACTGTCTGACATGTGGATAAAATGTTGTTTTGATCCTGTGACTTATTTGCTCTGGCTAAAAATTAACAAGTCTGTATGTCTGAAATCTCCACAAACCACAATAAATCTGACATGATAAACCATTTAAAACTCACTGGTGGCATTAAAGAGTCGCCTGAGCTTCCAAGGTGCACTGGCAGGAATTTACAGAAAGGCTGCAAATCCTCCTGGATTCTCACAGCTGATATCTTACAAATGTATATTTCATTAGCGATGAACAATATTACCAAACAACAACAATATACAAACAATATATTGGATTTTTTTCTGAGCTGTCTGTTTTTTTTTTTTGTTTGTTTTTTTTGCCTACTTCCAAGTCTGTTTGCCTCTAACCAGTCAGCTGATCCGGAGAAATCACTGGAGAGTTTTCAGTTAAAACCAAAATACTGCAGTCTCTCACTTCATGCTGACTGTGTGATTGCAGCCATAAATAATTCATGTCATCTTCCCAGAAATATACACTGGTAAGCAATAGCTGTAGTATGTCGGTCTGTGTGGTTTAGATTTGACCATGTCTGAACCTTTTGGACTTTCCCGTTACCTTGCACAATACTTGGTGTGCATGCTCTCTAGGCCCACTCAGCACTTCTCTCTAGCGGTTTCTACAGAGCTCTACAGTCTTCTACACATTTTATTGGGTAGCACTTTAAATTTAAAATAACATTTAGATAATTGAAATTTAAAAGTAATAATACAAAATGTTATGTTTTTATCACTTAAGTAGCGATATTGGACTTTAAGTGAGTGGTGGTGTAGTTGTAGGTCTTTTGGAGTTAGGCAACGGCTTGAGACATTGTGTACTTTAAACATACATGTCAGTTATGCTTGATAAAAGGTGACAGAATTGTGCCACAAATGAAAATTTGTTGAGAAATTTTCTTTAACCTTTTAATGTAGCTGAAAAGTGATAAAATCATCATGTAACATTTTAGTCATACCACTGACTACAAAACTAGAAAAATGCAAACTATGTCACTTCTTAGACAGAAATACCACGCAACTCCTGTAACCGAAGATACACTCACTGAAAACACAGCCTGTCTCAATAAAAAGTGGTAAAAGAACTGGAAATGCTGCGGTCAAAACCAATTTCTCACACTTTCCCACAACCAGTTTTCACTTAATGCAGTCATCAAGTGTTGACTTTGACATTCACAACATCACATGGTTCTGCTTCTTCAAGAATAACCTCTAAACTAAGACATGCACTCTAATGGAGTTAATGTTGTGATAGGCAGCTGTGGACCCGGCTTTATGTTTAGTGAATGCTCATTTAAATATCCATTCACAGGCTATGAGTGAGAAAACAGAAAAAAAAAAACAACAGTCACTTTGATGGGCCTCTGAACCAAAGGGGTTCTTGACCCTTCCACAAAAAATCCATTCATTTATCTATTGGACAAAATTAGACATGGCCATCTCAGTTAAAAGATGGGAGAGGGACTCCCTTTTTATTTCCTCTCCTCATTCTTTCTCTGTTCTGGCTTTTTTCAGGGAGAATTAGGCGCTGGCAGGGTAATTTTCACTCCCCCCTTTCTGATTCAATTTTGGGAGATAGAATGCTTCGTTTCTTGATGGACACAAGGGAAAGGATAAAATGGCAGAGAAAAAGAGGTGAAGAGAAAAGTAACAAAGGTCTCATCAGACACGCAGAGAGATGTCAGCCCATCACAGAACACTTCACATATGGTAGCACATGGAGATTATGATGCACACAATAAAACGAGAATCCAACGAAAAACAGATCTTACAGATTCCAGAACCGTTCATCCCATAACACCACTTCATTTTTAATACAAGTATCTCTCAGCTTTGTAACTCCTTACCAGAGGTACTTTCCTTTAAAGCCTGCTGTATCAAGGAAATATGTAGTGAAATATAGCATACATATGGATATTTCTGTTTATAATGATTTTATTGATGTAAGAGGCAAAAAAAAGTTAGAAAAATTCAGTAAAATTTAAAAATGTGTTTCATTAAATGCATCCAATAGATTGTTCAGTTTTTAAAAATATAAACTCTCAGAAAATGATTTACTGTGTCAAGCTTTAAAGGGTTAAACCGAGCACCAGTCAGACATTCATTAAAAGGCTTCCAACTGAGCTGTGTGTGTGTGTGTGTGTGTGTGTGCTTTTACTCAGCCGCTCTTATTCCTATTCTAGGTGCACACAGGTCACAATTACAGTTTGTATTTTCTGCAACATGCCAACATAGTAAATATCTAATGAAAAAATAAGTCATGGCAGTAGAGAGTAAAAGAGGCAGAGCCATTTTCATTAACTGACATCTATTTATCAAGAATTTATAAACATATATACTCTTCTATATATGCTAATGATTTTTTGTGAGGCAAAAGCAGAAAAATCATTGAAGACTTTTTCCTTCATGAAATACTTGAGGAACAGTTTAGTTTTCATTTAATGCAAGTGGGAAGTATGGATCCTGTGGAAGGAGAGGAAATTCCACAGTACACACCACCCTCTTTCCACCTCATAGGCAAACACACATCTACACACTGAATGGCCTCAACCATATGGCTCAGCGGTGTGGCTGAAAAGAGCTACACATTCTCAATTTGCATAACCACAACAAAGCTGGTGCTTCACATGCATCTTGGTGAGTGTGTGAACACACAAAGAAAGCAACACATTGGGCAAACAACCTACACACACAATCTCTTTTTAAAAGAACGGAGCCTGTTCCAGGAGTTTATGACAAGGAGGTGGAGTTTCACTTTTAAAGAGATGGGCCAGGGTGGGGAGAGGGGCAATGAGAGAAGCAGAGTTAGAGCATTCCAAAGCAGGCTTTGTTAGACACTCCCCTCACTTTCAGAGCCAAACATGTTGAATGCTGTTCAATTTTCTTCTGTTTGACAGTCTTGCCTGATACACACACACACACACACACACACACGTACGTATGGGTGAGCTCAGAGAACAAAACACATAGTAGCAAGTTTCTGAAACTTTATATCTCAGCCACACAACCAGGACACAACTGTACCCTGACCTTCGTCCTTTAAGACGTGACACAACAAAAACAAAACACATGAAAACGTTTACGTTTTTTGGGGTGTTTTCTTTTGTCCCTATATCCTTTAAATTTTAATTGTCCTTGTCATGGCATTTATTCCGGAAGCAAGATCAATGCCATCAGATCCAAGATATATACTTCCAGATTATTCTTAAAACACACATCCACAAGAGTAGTCTATTTATTTATATTAATTAAAATACTACTTCTTTAAAGATTACCTATTTTCCTAGACAATGTTAAAATTCTTTTAATGAATAATGCCTCTGATCTCATACTACGATATAGATAGAGTGCGTACACCATGGAGGAGCTAAGCAGCCTGAAATCCATAGATGCATACAATCAGTGTTTCAACAGCTTTGCAAAGGACATCAGAACTTTTCACGTGAATAACAGGTTCTGATGACTGGTAGAGTAAGTACATGTGGTAACATCCACATTGGCTACATGTCTGTCTTATTTTGCAGATAAAAGCTACCTTAGCTAAGCTAATTTTGCTAGTTCAGCAGTAAATATTACAGTAAATGTCACTGATATTTGTCTTAGTATTACACAGAGGTGGGTAGAGTACTCAAAAACTGTAATCGAGTAACAGTTGTAATGTACTTATATTGTTGTTTTTAAAAAAATATATATAAAAAAAAAGCGTTTTTTTAAAAGGTTTTGTTGGCTCTAATGGCCTTCATTTGAAAGTAGTTCGACAGGAAACAGGGTAATCAGAGAGAGGGGGAAGACATGCAGCAAATCTCGCCAGGCCGGGAATCGCCTGGCGAGGACTAAAGCCTTGCCCCTGCGCTACCACAGCACCCTGTACTTATACTGTTTATAAGTTAGATGGGAATGAGGCGAGAGCTGTTTCTAATAGGGCTGCACCAATTGCAGTTTTCTGGCCGATCACTGATTACCGATCTTTAAAAAGCCTGACCTGCTGATTCCAATTTTGTTGGATATAATTTTTTTTGTGTGAAATGTTGCTAAATATAGCAAGAAAGTCACAGAGTTGGTAACAGTGGGGTGATTGTTGTTGACTGCAAACATGCAGACATGACCTGGTGGGTGAGTCTGTCTGTTCTTGACCTGATTACACCCAGTGCTTTACCCCCACCGTTCATCCCCACAGTTGGCCATGCCTCTCAGTGTCTCTTGGCACCACCCACTTTACTGGAATTAAAAAAAAAAATGTTTGTGTTCAGGGTTATGTGTTTACATCGGGTTTAGTTACACTTAAAAGGTGTACACATACAGTACAAAACAACAAGGGTAAGTTGCTCAAAAGTTATTGGTTTCAGCTCAGAGGCTTTAATCCATGACTTTTGTGTTCTGATCAGCATATCTAATTTTAATATCTGGCGTTATTGATATTTCTTGATTCAGGATGTTTTTATTTAAACCGACACAATTTACACACGTACCATGTTTTTTAATATTTATTTATTTAAAACCCTTCACTATCAGGAGGATTCCAGTGTCCTCAAGGGCACATTGAAGTGTTTTAAGGTTGACTGTTAAAGGGTTAAGATTGATCATTACATAATAAGCCTCAGAACAATTCTTTCACACTCATGTCCACACCATAACATTTTGCTGGCATAGCACTGAGATCTTGCTACACTCCTACACTGAATTGTAAGATTTGTTCCAGACATTTAAAATATTTTTTAACACAGATTAGTATTTATGAACTCCAGATACTCGCTCTGCTGTTTTTAAGTACCCTGGCCATCGCATTCTGGTGCAATTCCACTCGAAAAAAAGTTCTCGCTTCCAGCACAGTCTGGGTTTTGTCCCCTTGACTTGGATTCTCTCCAGTCCATTTCCTTCCAGGCCAGTCAGCAAACAGAAGAAGAAGTTATGAATAATGACGTTGATTTTCTGCGCTAATTAAGAATGTAGTCTGCTTGTAGTTCTAGCAATGGCAAAACACTGAATTAGCATTAACAGCTGCCTCGTTTGGATCAGCTATTCTCTCTTTGCAGTGTAGGATGGTTTCTGTAAGCTTCTTGTGTTACTTATGTCATGCTAACGTCACGTTAGCGATTCGGTAAAATTTAAAACCTCAACGCAGCCCACGCCACCAGGAAGTAATTGTTTCTCAATAGAAAGTGAAAGTTTTATTAAACCACACGTATCCTTCTTCAGCAGCACTGTAAGCAAATAACACAGTGGGGTTTTAGTGCATAAACTTTATCAAAAATCAGAGCAACCCATAAACACCCACAAGAGTCAAAGACTGAAAATATCTTCACCTTTATAAGTTATTTCATTTCAGCAAAATAAAAACAGGGTTAAAATGTGGGGAAAGGGGCTTTGAAGTGGCTCCTTTCACCCTGACAGAGGGTGGGAGGAAGGGTGAGACGGAGCAGCCACCCCTTTTCAATTGGTAAGCATTCAGCCAGAAACTTGGCTATTCACTGTTTTGTTGCACTCTTCTCCCTTCTCTCTCTGCTGCTATGCAAGTAGCAAACATTAACACAAGGAAAAATTGAGAAATATGGTCACAGAGTTACAGGGACACCACGGCCAAAGTCTGGGTAAATGAGAGAAAATGCTGGAAGAAAAGAACGATCCAATAGGAACAGGAGTAAATCGAAAAACAAATAGACAAACGAAGTGTAAAACATGTAAAAGAAGAGGAGATGTATTGATGTTGGGAGAATGAAGGACAACAGAGATCACTTGCTCAAAGGGATCTAGAAGATTTGGAGCAGGAGGGGGAGGGCAGTATAAAAAACTCCCCAAACCCCACCTCAATTTATTGTTCTCTATTTTCCAAACCCCTTTCCCTATAGTTAGCAATCCTGCTAACATCTGGCTTTTAGTGCTGTGGGAAAGTTTTCAGTTGGCATTTAGTCCTGCATCAATCAGTCCTGCTGTAGCTGCAGGTATTGAGCCCCTGCTAACGTTGTCCATAGCAAAAAGCACGTTTTCTTTACACTTATCCAACCGTTAACTCAACACACGCAACAGATGCAACAAAGAGACATAAATAGTTTATACCAGTAGTTTCCAAACTATTTCTGGGCCCCCCCTATGGCTTACAAATAGCTGTCTGGTTGAACGATGTGTTGAACGAAGGGGGTGGGAGGTGGATTCTTAGAAACTCCCTGTTATACTCAGCCCCGGCTCCAAACGAACAAGGGGGGGGTGGGAGGGAATCAACTTTTTTGGGGGCAAAATAAATCGTAGCTGAACACAGACAACAACACCAGCAGCAGCCTACAAGCTACTTGTTAACAAGCTTAAGGTGACCGCTGTATTGATATTAGCTAGTCATCTTTTAGCTAACATCACCTGCATCCAACAGCTTTACTCAACAGTCTGTTAGTTTGGGGGAAAAACTGTGAAAAGTTCTTTGCGTTTTGCTGGTTTGCTGCCGTGATTCTAACACACCTGTAGCTCCGCACAGCAGCAGCAGGTCTCCTTCACAGGTGGAAACCCAGCGCGAGCGTCGTAACACTCATGTTGCGTTTAAAGGCAGCTCGGAAAAACAGGTTACGACACGTTAACAACGGATTAAACAGTTTTAACTGGATAAAAGTGACAGAGGACACAGATATGGGAAGTGAGGAAGCCCCTACTATATCAAATTGACAGAGGAATAACAGAGAGTTGGCCATTCTAAGGTAAAAACCCAGCGCATACAGCTTTCATGTTTTTTTGTTGTTGTTTTTTTTCATCCAGACGGCTTCCCGCGCCCCCCCTGCAATGGCACGCCGCCCCCCCTAAGGGGCACGCCCCATAGTTTGGGAACCTCTGGTTTATACAACATCGCTGGGACTCAAATTTCAAATAAGGCATGATATTACTTCATATAATTCTATGTCTGCTTAACATCTCAGAGTGTGTCATAAAGATCAGATTGAGAAAGAGTTGAAAGTGATGAGAAATGGTTCAAACTTAAACTCAAGTTTTGTAAATGCTCATATATTTTCTGCAAAAACAGAGAAATGTCTTCCCTCTATGTGGCTACAAGAACAAGATGACATAATTCTGTTCTTCCAGCAATGCTTTGGGAGTTCTTGTAACTTGTCCTTACATCTTCTGGCCAGCATTGTCTTCTTGTGCAGTGTCTGACAAATACTGTGATTAGAAAGAAATTTTAAATGGATATGTTTACCACTAATAAATCAGTTACCATTTTCCAGGTGTAAATGGGGTTCTATGACTGAAAACCTTAAAAATATGCATACCGCTCCAATGGTATAGACTACAGGTGTCAAACTCCAGTCCTGGAGGGCCACTGCCCTGCAACCTTTAGATGTGCCTCTGCTGCACCACCTGAATAGAATAATTAGGTCATTAGCAAGGCTCTGGAAAAATTATCTACACAAGAAGGAAGTAATTAAGCCATTTCATCCCAGTGTTTTGTACCTGTGGCACTTCTAAAAACTGAAGGACAGTGGCCCTTGAGGTCTGGAGTTTGACACCCCTGGATAGACCCTTTAATGTCAGAGAAAGTTCAGGAGCAGAAATAGTCGGCACTGGATTCTCAAAAAAGAAAGTGCAAATGATTCACTGGAATGTACATTTCAGACTACGCAAACTTTTTAAAACTGTAAACATTGGTGACTTGTCTGCTTCAATAGTTTATTCCTTTTCAAAAAGGTAGATGCCTTTTTAACATTTCAGTGCAAAAATTGCAAACTTGCATTGCTCATATTCTAGCTAATCAGGAGAGATAAAAAGTGCAGAAATGTTTGCACTCAGTAAACCCAAGGACTGTACAAGCTTCGTCATATGTCCTGGTCTTTTCTTGCTGACTACTGTTGCTTTATTTACCTCTGCTGCGGTTTTTCTGTTCATTGTCACAAACTTCTCCACCTCTGTCAGCTCTGCACACCAGTGTGCCTGTATTTAACTGGTTGTTTTTGTTCAGCCATGAATAAAGACACTGGCACAGAAAAATCCTCCTGGCTCTCATCTCCCCTTTCCCTCATGAATGTTCTCAGTTCCTGTGGAACACTTTTAGAGCTTACAGTAAAATCTAACAGTGGTTCATCTTAGTCGTTTCTACTTTTTGTCCTGGGATTCTCTGAAAGGCTCTGCATTAGCTTAGTGCTTTCTAAGAAATCAATTAAATAAAAACATTTGTATTTATCGGATTAATGTTGAGAGAGTGATGACATTCTCTAGAGTGATTTCATGGGTATGTGGCAAATTCATAAGCACTTTTCTGGAATCTCACTGAAGAGTCAGAGCACCTCAACACTACAAGGCCTTCACAGATCAGTGGTCAGTGCAAACTTCAGTGCTTGCCCGAGGGCATTTACCAGGGACAGCTGGATTTGATCTTGAATCATCCCAAATGCCAGACAATTACTTTTCTCAGCTCAGCCACAGTAGTCGGTTCCTGGACGCTGTGGCCCAGCAGTACACTAATATACTCAACGCCTGTTGTGAAGGGTATTTGTAATTTTGAGTGTTCAGTAGTCTGAAAGCAGAAAATCACTGCAGTTTATCTGAGTAACAAACTCAGATAAACTGAGTCGCTTGGCTGCTTTGCCATTTCTTCTCATTCCATTGGAGTTAATGATAATCAAGTTAAAATTCATCTTTCTTTCCTCTTGTGTTACATATATTTCTTGACCAGCCAAGCAGCTGAAAAAGGCCACATGCTGATTGACTTACCTCTATCTTGTCAGTTTTAGCATCTCCCCAGTAAAGCTTCCCTGCTGTGTAGTCTATGGCTAATCCATTGGGCCAGCCAAGAGAGCTGTTGAGCAGGACCACCCGAGCTGTTCCATCCAGGTTTGCTCTCTCGATCTTAGGATGCTGACCCCAATCAGTCCAGTACATAAAACTGAAAAAAAAAATTGTCAATGTGAGAAGACAGACATCAGTTAAAGATATCAGCAAACATGCAACCAAGAAACCCATGTTGTTTTTATTTTACTGATGGCTGCCAATCACTTATTTTTGTCATTAATCTTGTTAGTGTATTTTAAATCTGCTTCAATAGGCAATCAATGGCATTTTGCAGGAACTTTTAGTGTTAGGATAAGGAATTATTTTTGAAAGGGATCAAATAAAAGCTGTTTTACTTAAATAAAGATAGAGAGATCCAGCTGTGACAAATTCAGACAAACGACATCTACCCATTAACAGGATCCAGAACAATGGCTCTGGGTTCCTCCAGGTCCTCCGAAATCAAAATTTTTCGTGATGTTCCATTTAGTCTGGTAACCTAAAACAGCACACAGGAATAATAAAAAGAAGTGCAATGACATGTTTACTGTCACATGAAGTGTCATCTCTGTCCAGTTGTAAAGAACAGCGATAAGAAATAGTTCTGTACCTCAATCCGATCAGTGCCAGTGTCAGTCCAGTAAAGGTTTCTGGCCACCCAGTCAACAGCAATACCATCTGGGTGGTTGATGTCCATGTTAACCAGTATTGTGGCATTGCTGCCATCAATGTAAGATCGTCGTATGGCCCGAACTTCATCATCTGTCCAGTAGACAAAACCTTCAACCGGGTCATAGTCTATAGCTATAGCATGTCGAATGTCATGAACCTGCATGAGAAGAGTGATAAAAACCTCAGAGCTTCACTCTTACAACAAAGTCCAACAGTTTTTGTTGGTGTGTGTGTGTGTGTGTGTGAGTGTATTCACCTGCAGCACTATGTCAGTGAAATCTGGCAGATCAAGTGAGATTCTCCTCAGGTCTGTCCGTCTAGCCAGCAGCAAAACCTGCTCTGCACCTGATCAAGATACAATTCATCTTCATGTTGAGGACCATCAATATGTAACCAGCTCATTCAGTTCAAACAGTCACCCCTACATTACATTTGCTTTTTATTTATTTTGATAGTTTGCTAACAAGTTAAATCTTTATATGGGCAATAAGTCCTAATTAATACCAGTAACAATAATAATAATAAGACTTAAAATGTAGAAAGTCTTTTTTGAAATGCATTTTACAAAGAAAACCTCTGGAGGCAAGTTTGAATTTATTGTGGATTTCAGACTCTATCAAAACAACCTGTTACTTCAAACTGCACCTCGATCACATGCTGTTTGTAGTCCCTGAAAGCTCACACAGTTTTATATTCTTCTATTCAAACCACTGAAAATCAATAATTTGCAACAAAACTTTATGTCTGTGTCTTCAAAACATTAAATAGCTCTGAGCCACAGTATACACACAATTCTTACAAATTAAAGGGTTTTTCTCTTGCTCTGACTGGCCTTTCATAACTAATTAAATGTTGGCCAACAAGATCCCAATCACATTCCACACAGAGAGGTGAACGATCCGGCCTAAATGAGGAAAACCAGTCAGGAAATATCAAGGGAGATGGTGAATAGAGGAGGAAAAGCATCTGCACTTCAGCTCTCATCTTTGCTTCACTTCCTTTAAAGACCCTTCAAGACCACTGACTAAGAGTCAAATAAACACACACACACGCTTCTGTCTCTACTGCCAGAACAATAACAAACACTTCAATTTAACCAGCCAAGCAAAACAAATTAGAGGCATACGCAACAGACATTCGCCGAAACTGCAGGCTGACACAATAAAGCATTGTTGTTTTTATTGCCAACAGTGGCCAGGCGATTGGTTGGCATGCCTCATTCAGATTTATTGCCAAGCCTCAGAGACACACACACAAACCTTTACTCAGTATTTACTTTTTGCATAATAAGGCTCCATTGTTTTAACATTGTGGGAATCAATATGGCAGCTGGTCAATTTGAGAGTGCATGTGTCTTCTGAGATGTGTCTGTACAGATTTTCAGGATGATGGTCCCGGTGCCGCGACACACTCCAATACCAAAGACACCTCTAGGTTCAGCGTTACGACACACTGACACACTGATTATTTCAGTCATCTGGAGCTACTGCTAAAATCCATTTGATTCATTCAAAGAAGAATAATCTTCTTCCTAGAGCTTTTCAGCTACTTTATTATAAATTTAATATGTTAAAATAAGTTTGGGAGCCAGATAACACACACACGCGTGCACACGCGCGCGCACACACACACACACACACACACACACACACACACACACACACACACACACACACTCTCTTTTAGAGGTTTAAAAGTGGCAGCAACAACAAACAAAGTCTTAATAGAAAATCCTTCAGTCATTTTCTTTTCTAAAAATGAAAACATTAAAATATGTAAGAGCAGCTGCTTTGGGTGTTAAACCATGTTAACATACACTTAAAATCACAGAAAAAAAATTAAACCAGTGTATAAAAGCTGGCAAAATACTGAGCTGATGATGCATATACATCATCAGCATGCTTATTTCTGAATGACACCATGATATACACTGGATGCGAACTTGTAATGCTTCATTTTTTTTTCCTGGGTGAGCTTAACTTGCAAATAATTCTTATTCAGGGAAAAGAGCTACAGAACTGCACAGACATGACCCATCATCAGCAATGGCCTTCAGGAAGCAGCTCCAGTTCAAATGCCACTTTATCCCCGCAGGAGTTACAGCAGGAGAACCTTCTCTGCTCCCAAACAGGCCTAACTGTGTTTCACAAGGCTGTCACTCCGTTTCTATCCAGCAGTCCAGAGTTAGATCAACACTGTGCTCAGGTCTCTCCCACATAGCGGTTGGATGAGCCTCAGCCAAAGACATCACCCAGGACTGAGGCAGAATCAGTATCACTGTCAGGGACTAAAATCTCACAGATTGTTGGATAAACCACTAGTTATGCAATCAAATGAACAAGAAATGAAAAGGGCCCTCCAAACGGTCTGGAAACACTCCCTCCCAACTCATCTCTGCTGAACTATCCTCATTGTCGATCATCCTCCAAACCGTTCTTCATACTCCTTCAGTCTTTCTCATACCTCACTGTGAAACTACTCCAGAGTCAATGAGCCACTTAGCTTAGCCTAAAACCCAGGCTAACTGAACAACCAATCAAATCTCTGGTCCTTATCAACATCATTGTATCCATTCTTCCCCATTTCTCCTTTTCTTTTCCTGAATGCTTTAGGAAACACAGAGCTAAAAAGTGGAATGTTTTAGTCAAACTGCACTTTTGAAGATTTATCTGATTGCTATCGTGGTATATAAATATTTTTTGCTCCTGTAATCCCATCATGTTTTTTAAGCTGGTTCATTGAATCTGCCATAGCTGCAGCAACCATTTTTTTAAATGCAGTAAAACCAACTCTAAAATAACGATGTTACTACTGAAGTGAGTGGACTTGCAGTTTAGGTTTGTGCTAATGGAAGTCAGACACATACCTGGCTTGCATGTCTTTCCATCTGCTTTAAGCTGGACTCCCGTGGGACAGGCGCAGCTGTAGAAAGGCTGGAGCGGAGAGAGCAGGCAGAGGTGACTGCAGCCTCCGTTATCGTTGCTGCACGGAGTCTGAACTGAAATAATACAAAGGAAAACACAGAAATTAACAACTAAGAAAGATTAGGCTTGATAATGTGAAAATATGAACTAGAGTGCAATATGCTTTTTTATAATGTGAATAGTCATTAATAGATAAATGATGAATTTTTGTTGTTTTACTGTCAAAAATCTGGAAAACCTTTAGATTTCATCTGAATTTCAATACATAATTTATGTCCAAAGAAAAATCTAATAATCCAGACCAAAACACTACTGGTCACGGCTACTGATGAATTATAATTAGTGCCAAAAAACTGAATGTCAGAATAGTTTCTGAAGAGGAGGCTCTACACAGGCACACTGGTGTGCACTAAAAATCAAAAGCAGAGAGGTTTCTGGTTTGGTTTCATAAAGAGTGTTTAACTTTACTTAAAAATAATAGAGATATTCTTTGACCTGACCTCGTACAAAATTCAAATATAAACATTAATTTTGTGTTAGAAAAACTGCTTCACTCCTCAATCCTATACTGCAAACAACCAGACCAACCACAACAGCTGTCTTTTCTTCCTAATCGCAGCAGGAGGCTGACCTAAACACAAAATAACAGCTCATCTGTCATCTCTAATCATTAGTATAAGTTAGGATCAATAGCAACATTTCTCATTTGGCAAATAGTTAATTAATCAAATACTTAATATGTTCAAACACTAATACTCGATTCAGTGTTACATTGACCATTAAACATAGGTATAACATTCCACTTACTGTAAGGTTGTCGATAAGGCTCCAGAACCTGGATGTCCATTGGAGAATAAATCCCACTGAGGATCTCTCTGGTTTTGTCTCCACTGTGTTTGTTGCAGGCATGGATGGAGCGAGTCTGCCAGTCAGTCCAGTATAACGTCTCCTTAGACAATGTTAGTGCAAAAGGATGGGTCAGGGTGCCCTCCACCACTGCTTCTCTGTAAGATGGAAAAAAAAAACACTTGACAACAAGAAGAATTTTCGTGGGGGAATCTACCTAAACTACTTAGAAATATGGAAACATTTCCTTAATTTGGAGATTAAAAATTTCTACTGATGTTTGGATCCTGAGTTGTTAAGTGGATTGTTTATTATGTTGTTTTCCTTAATTTTTTCTATTAGTTCTGACTTGTTTCTATTTTTACTTCAGTGTCTTAGTGATTCTAGCTTTGTTCATTTCTTTGTTCAGTCCTTTTCTTAGTTATCAAATTTTTTATTACGTTTTTTATGTCTAGTTATTTTGTTAGGTTCATTTCCTAGTTCCCAGTGTGCTCTCCCTCCCTCCCTCCTCAGCCTGCCTTCTGCTCTCTCCTTGCTCATTAGCTCAGGTCTTTTGTCCAGCATTCAACCTCCCAGTACTGAAGCACCTCATTCTCAGCCACTCCTTGCTTCTCTTCTTCTTGTCTACGCCCGTTATTTTTCCCATCTGTTCCCTGCCATCTCTTCCATCCCTACACTCCCAGATTTATGATTTGTGTTCTTATTTGGCTTGTATTTTTGTCTTGTAAGCTTTTGTTCTTAGTTTTATTCATTTATTTATTTATTATTTTCACCACTACCTGACGTCTCAAGTCTGCTGTATTTGATATTCATGAAACCTTTACTTTATGGAAACAAAACAATAGGGATTGTCTGTATTTCTAAAATGTTATCTTGTCTCCTTGTTGTGAGCCCAATATAAGTGATTGCTTCATTTATAAGCTTAATTCATCATCACACTCCTGGTAATAACAGAAGTTTTCACACTTCTTGACGGTTGGTGATGAACCTGACTAATAGTTAGCTAATACAAGCAGAAAGGTGCTCTGTTGAATCTCTGGTATACAGTACATATCAAATCTTATGTCACAGTTCATAAAACACTGGAAATGAAAGTAGGTATATTTCATGTTTAGAATAACTGGGTGGTGAAAATACTAATGCAATAACATTACAAGTGGATTTATGTTTCCCTCCCAGTAGAACTAAAAGTGCAGCATTAATGAGAAAGTACACAGTAGCAGAAAAAAGTAACAAGTAGCTAAACTGGCAAGTACAAACTATGCAAAATCAACTGTTGAACATCAGTGTGAAATATGTTTTGTTGCTACGCAGAAAATGCTGATGCCGCCATAAAGGCTGGAAAGCCCAGATTTGAGCAACACGATTTTCTGTAGCCAGAACTTCCTATTGCTCACTAATAGTATAAACAGTGGTTGTGGAACTACTGCTGTGCCTCTAAAGGAACAGAGGCTAACTTGGTCAGACAGTTCCAACATATTGGTTTGGACTCAAAACACCTCCACCACATTCCAACATAATATACAGGCAGAAATCAGTTCCACAGAACAGATGCTTTATGCCTGACTCTGCAGTATAAACACATTAAAGACTTCAAAAAAGAAATCAAAGCTTTAAGTGTAGGAGATTTTTTTTTTTTACATGTAAGCCTTTTTACTGACAGCAGAGATATCACATAAAAGGAGAAAACAGACATGGTGAATGATTTATGCCAAGCAGATAAAGGTTCCAGGCTAGATATGGAAATCTTACCTGATCGCAACAGATCAAAGCAAGCCTAAATTTTCACTGTTTTCATTTTCTTATTTGAAAACTGATGACCTCAGCAAAAATATGTGCTTTGATATTCTGTGGCATCATTGATCTTATTAATTCAATGAAGAAAGATGGAGAAATAAGTCAAGATTTAGAAAAACAGATGTGAACGATGGACTGGAGAAAGGAAACTAAATCCAGAGATGAGTGTGTGGAGCTGTGTTGGTTTTAACTGAGGCCTTCATTCCACAGCTCTGTTTGTCTTGGACTCTTCTTTATTTTTCTTTAAATCTGTCAGTATAGCTATTCTGTTTCTTACTCCATTACTGTTATTTTTTTTAAAAAAGCAGCTCACAGAGGAATATTAAATATGGTCTAGCTAGAATTTGAGGTTTTAAACCATAAAAACTGTGCATCTTGCAATTAATCTTTTAAACCAAATGCACAAGTTAATGTTTCCCTGCATGTTGAGATAACACCACGTGAAAACCTTCAGTACACAGTGTTCTACACAGAAGACTATAATGTTGTCCCATATTACAACAGCTTCAAACATGAGTAATGCAAGAGTAGTTCACTGGTGAAAGCAGCAATATTTTAAAATGAATCTTCTCTGGCTGGATTGTATTAGAATGAACTTGTATGAATTGAATTAACCAAACGGAATTGTATTACAAGTGCAGCAAAAGTTCTGTATGCAAACTCAATCTGGAGGAATAGGCCTTTTGCATCTTGAATATTTCTATGTGAAAACAAGTTTCTCCAATGAAAATAAAGGGAACTGAAATAATCCACGCCAAGCTTCTACCCAAACAACAACTATACCAAATGTAGTCCTTAAATTGACAATAATTTAGTTATTCATCTTATATAAAACATAACTACAGGCATTGTTTGGTGAAATATTAATGGAATATGCAGTTTTTCTAAGACACCTACTTGTTTGACATGATTGGAATAAGTGCTAGGAGTATACAGATATTTTTTGAAGTAGAAATCACTTCCAGAGTAGAGGGTCTGATGTGGTGGTGATGTACACTATAACACTATATTGCCAAAAGTATTCACTCACCTGCCTTGACTCACATATCAATCAATCAAATTTTATTTGTATAGCACATTTCAGCAGCAAGGCATTTCAAAGTGCTTTACATAATTAAAATAAAAACAGAAAGAGATTTAAAAAACATCAAAAACATCAAAAACATTGGAAAGA